GATGGATGGATGGATGGATGGATGGATGGATGGATGGATGGATGGATGGATGGATGGATGGATGGATTGATTGATTGATTGATTGATTATGATGATATTTTAGAATGTTGTCTTAGATCCAAAACAAAGTGGCAGAAAGTCATCACCATACTTAGATGGGTTTGTGGCTTTCTTGACTTTTTTTTTTGTAATTTACAAAAAAATGTAATGTCATTTCTCAAAAGTAGAGACAGCAGCAACTGCAGTTCTCACACCAAATCTAGCTTATATGCAAAAAATAAAATAAAATCTGTGCTTTCACTCTCCCCCATTTTCCACAGAGACTCTGCATTGATTGTCTCTGACACTCTTAGTCGTGTTATCAGCAGAGCTGAAGACAAACATTCCCAAGTACGCTCAGAGACACAAAAGACACACATGGACAATAAAACACAGAAACAGATGTCTGACACTAATCACTGTCACCGCTGCTGTTGCAGCGCCTGCTCTCTGATCAGAGTAATGACAACAATGGTTGTAATAGCCACAACATGGGTGTCAGGCTAATTCACAAAAATCACGTTATATATAGAATTCCTCTTATGATGTCTCCCGCTGACAGTCCCGCAGCTGTGGATAATGAGACAAGCCTTAATGGGGTCATTTCACATTGACATGGTTTTGTCGGCTTAATGAGCTGTTACATCAAAGGTGTTCCAAAATGGCTTTTATGAAAGAACGTGAAAAATAAAGAAAAAAACATCATATTTTGATCTAAACCTGGCAAGATTATGATATATTGTGCATACTAATCATTCTAATTCAGATGCAGAATACTGAGTAGTTTTCTAAAGCATGTCATTTTATGAACAAAGTTTAGACGCCCTGGATCAGTGAGCTGACCAGAAAACCCCCACATTTAAGGAAAATAATCGTATTACAGAGCAAAAGCAGAAAATCTAAATGAACTAAGTGAACTGAGGTATCTATTGCATTAGCTTGCTTCATTGATCGGGTTTGCCGACTTGCTTGCTGATGGGGAAAAAGGGCCATAGTTTAATGGGAAATGACCTCGGGCTATTTCAAAGCACACTGGTATTTACAGCACGCACTGCCACGTTATTAATAGGCAAGAGTAGAAAGTTTTAAAGTTTGTCTAGAAATTGTTATGATTCAGTGAGAGGTTCTGATTCTAGGTGTCAATGGGATTTAAACACAGAGAATTCACTGACATGAACCAAATGAATTATTCTGCATCAGTTTTTGCAGTCCCATAACTGCATAGACAGAATAAAGTCAGCAGGTAATGCCATCATTGTTGTGCAAACATGATTAAATATGCATGAGAACACAGCCAATAGACACCTCTAGTAATTTACTGTGTTGCTGTAGTGGACAAAATAAGCAATTACAGTAAGAGAATGAATCTGAACTGGGCCACTGTGTGCTCTTTGCCCCTGTAAATCAACATGTTGCTGCTTGGAACAGGCTCAGAAGTAAAAGGACACACTGGACTGCGACATAGAGCATATTTTCTATCCTTTTACAATAAGGTGCACAACATTTGATTAACTACTAGGAAACGCCTCAGGAACGAATCAGGAGCTAATGGATAGTTAACCAGTACTTACTGGGGAACACACAGACAAGCCTTATTAGGGGACTACTGGTTTGTTACCACAGTAACAGAGGGAAAATTCTCCATGCGGGTTCTGAATAAACCCTGCACCAGTGAGGTCTCAGCTTGTAATTGTCAAAAACCTGTTTCCTAGTGATTACTGATTTTATTGGATATTCTCTTTTGAAAACCTATTGATGAAAGACATTATCAATTTCACAATCTTGTACTGGTGTCATCTTAACCATGCCTGACTATCACTTACTGCGTACCAAATCATTCCCTGGCTATTATTTTGTTCACTGATGTAGTGAAGCATCATACCAAGTACTTACTGAGGAACCAATCATTACTTAATCACTACCTGACCATTACCTACTGGTTTGTTCCTGTGGTAACAAACCAGTAGTCCCCTAATAAGGCTTGTCTGTGTGTTCCCCAGTAAGTACTGGTTAACTATCCATTAGCTCCTGATTTGTTCCTGATTCGTTCCTGAGGCGTTCCCTAGTAGCTAATCAAATTTTGTGCACCTTATTGTAAAGTGTTACTTATTTTAGTATTAAAGATACAAGAAATAAGCAAGATTTGTTTAGATCTGCTAGGACTGGATTTTATGTTTGCAAGTTGGACATAGCGTATGGTTATGAAATGGACATTCTTAATAGTATTTTTTATTTAAGTAAACATTACACTTTTTGACACCTATTCGATGACTATTACACCAACATATTTCTTTGGTATTGATTAGAAGTATGCAGCAGCAACTGCGGTTGGTAGTTTCTGTTATCTTTAGACATAAAAACGGGAGGGTGGATAATAAATAATAATAATAACTGTAGTGTTTGGTATTCTGCTCATCCACAATCTAATTCCCAGCATGCATCTTTTATAGGTGGTGAACTACCTGCTGAAGAGGCTGGAGCTGAATTACCACAGAAACATCATTACTGATGGTTACAGCTGTGGCACCCGCAGGAAGCTCTCAACTGCACTCGCTCTCATCGGGCATCCACAAATCCTGCTCCTGGTGAGGCAGACACACACACACACACACCTGCCCAAGTAATTGCCTAACTGGTGACCAGAAAAGAAACATTAGGCCAAATGTGCCTGTTTTTTCTTGAAATGGTCTTTGACTAAAGTAGATATTGATCTGTTTTATTGGAAAGATTTCGTACAGTTAATTAATTTGCTACAAGCTTATCCAGTGGTGCTCTTCCATGAAGCTGTACACTTTGTTTCTCCATTATGTGTCTTTTAAATTGTCTTGTTTTGCCCCTAATTTTCTCCATTTTATTATTTTTCCCCACCCTTTAGTTTTTGCAGGGTTTTCCCTCACATTTACATTTACGCATTTGGTTTCACTCTTGTCTTGTCCGTGCACCGTGTCTGCTTCATGCCGTCTGTCAGTGATCTGCTTGTCAATTATCTCGCCGTATTGATTTTAACACTCTGCTGACCTTGTTTCATTCCTCCTCTCTCCATAGGATGAGCCAAGCTCTGGCATGGACCCCCGCACCAAGCGACACCTATGGAAAATAATTTCTGAAGAAGTGCGAGGAAAATGTGCCGTGGTCCTCACCTCTCACAGGTAAGAAGTGCATCACATGCAGATTTATTTTCTACTGAAACACTTTGATTAATACTCGGTATTACTAATTATTGTGCAATTTTCTGGATAAGACTTCATGTAAAATGATATCCGTATGTGCAGAGCCGGTTATACGATGTTGAGCTACAGGAACAGTGAATGCAGGCTAATTATTCCAAGCTCTAAGGATCCTTGTATGACCTTTATTTTTGTCCTCTTTGTGTCCGCTCCTCAGCATGGAGGAGTGTGAGGCCCTGTGCGGCCGTCTTGCCATCATGGTGAAAGGTCAGTTCCGTTGCCTGGGCTCTCTGCAGCACATTAAAAACAGGTTAGTGACCTCCACTCATCCTTCAGCCTACCACCCCTTCCTTTCTCACCGACGCCCTCTTTTCCCAGGATATGCAAGAACAAGACTTTGTTTATAAAATATTTTCTGTTCAGGTTTGGCACCGGGTTCACGGTGAAGATGTACTTGGCCGAGCCCTCATGTGACGCAGAGGCAATCACTGCTTTCATGCAGCGCAGATTCCCCAGCACTTACCTCAAGGTGAGCTTTCTCAACTATCCTGAGCAGTCCGAAGTACTTTGTAGAGGAGAAATAAAAGTCACTAGTTTATTTTGGAAATAAATATAAAGAAACATGTTGGCTTGGGAAATTATTTATTTATTTATTTATTTTAACTAAAAGTCAAAAGTACCAAAAAGTTTAACATATTTTCCATAATACATCTTTTTTATTATTTGAATGCTTAACACGCATTCACACTATTGTTTTGCTGTTTTTCTTTATTAGTGTACATTTTCACTGCACGCTACAGTGATTCTGTTTCTATTTATTATTTTTTCCATTGATTTTTGCAACAAAACTAGTGCTGCATACTTTTTCCTATTAAAGACATTATTATAGTTGCTAAATGTTAAGCTCGTGTGACACTGACTATGACTTTTGATGCTTGGGCAATGGATGGTTTTTGAAATATTAAGCTTTAATTAAGCTTATTGCATAGCAGCTTCACGTGCAGCAGGTTTTAACAATGTGTTGATTAGGTCACAATGGTCCAGTGATTACAGTATGCATTTTGATATAAATTATATATTTGTAAATATGAAAAATAACTTATTTATACATGTATAAGATAGAGGTTAATGGTCATATGCAAATGAGAGTGAGTCCCACTCTGCATGGGTATATGTGTGTGGGGGGTGTTAATATATTTAATAATTTGACTTTTACAGTAGTTTTTTTTAATATGATGCCAGTAATGCCAGTTTTAAACTAAAAGTAAAATTTAAATGTTTTGCTACTTTTGACTAAGTCTAAGCTAGCCTTTTCTCACTATTTTCTACCGTTTCACTACTTGTGGGTCTTTTCTAGCATTTTCCTGCTTTTTGCTAATGTTTCACTTTGACAATGTCACATGACTTGGTTGCTTTGTGTGACTCGCTGCATGAAATGTATTTATCTTACTTGGCTGAAAACATATTCCAGACATTTTGGTATGTCATATGTTTCAAAACAAAATGCCAACAAACTTACTTTCATGTCTAGTGAGCAGCGGCACAAGTAATGATGTCTCTTCTCTTGGACACTTTTTTCTGTCTTTACAAACTTCTTGTAAAATAGTTTTTTCTGTGCTTGCTATTTGGGTATTGGGTATACATTGCATACAAAGTGTTTAGGTTTTTGTGTATTTTTTTTTAATCTTATATACAATCACAACAAAATAATCAATTTACTTCAATTCTGTTTATTTATACAGCTACATTTCATAGCAAAAGTCATGTGAAGGCAGCACAACAGACAAACAGATCCATGTTTTTATCCATTTGTATGCAATCCAATATAAACCAACTCCAACTCGATCCAACACAATCAGATTTATGTTTGCGTCCAAATACATAAAGCCCAATTATATATAATTGGAATACAATACAAACATATTTTATAAATTATAAAATGCCATTTATAGTAAACAGTTGTTTAGCTAAGAAATATGTGAGTGATCTAAAACTTAATTTTTGTGTATTTGATTCAAATCCAATGCAAAGTTTTTAACCCTGTTATGTTTATTATATTGATTACTAAAGCTTTAAAGAATCTAATTATTGGGTATTTTACTTGTTGATGTTAGTGTCTTTTGAGCTTCATGGACATTTTTCAAGAAGCTACCGACTGGCTCATCTGAGCTTATTAGAACATGCAATATTCCAGTTTTACTCCTCATCTTATACAGTACTGTGCACCGAATAACAAAAGTATAGATTTTTTTCACCAAGCATCAAGAGAATTTTATTTTTTAAGATAGGTTGTTTTTATTGTCTTAACTTTTTTGTTTTTGTTTTTTTGGTGTCACTCAGACCTTTGCACTTTTTCAAACTTTCAATGCCTTATTTTTGCATTCTGTCCGAACACACAGGACCAGCACTCCGCCATGGTGGAGTATCACGTACCAAATGCTCCTGGAGGGGTTTCTGACATCTTCAACCAGCTGGAGTCCAACAAGAATGCTCTGCTGATCAAACACTTCTCTGTGAGCCAGACCACACTGGATGAGGTGAGAAAAAGAAGACAGGACTTAAACTGAGAATGAGGGAGAACTAGTATGCGGCTTTGTAGAGGTGGGTGGCAAGGGACAGAAAAAACGGACACGAGGTGAGAAAAGGTGTGATAGGGTGGTAGGGGAAGCAGGGGCAGAAGGAAGCTGAGCGGGAGTGAAAGAAAGAGCAGAGAAAAATAAGGGCAGAGGGGAAACTGACAGAGGGTAGACCTGAGGGAAAATAAATGGAATATGAGTTAGTGAGAGAATCCATGAGCTTTATATGCAGCCAAAGCTGATATCCTTCAACTACTCTAAAACCTCTGGGGCTCTGGGATTGGAAGACACCACAACCAGGAGAAAGAGAGGGGGGTCGGAGAGGGGCGCTCTTCCATTCGATTAGCTACAAATTACATTTCCCTTTAGAGATAATTATCTCCGCATTTACTGGCATGCGTCTTACACTATCCCTGAACCTCCACAGGTCTTCATCAATTTTGCCATGGAAAATATCGGCATGGAAACGGCACCAATCCACAGTGAAGACAAATGTGATGAGCTGGACTCCATTAAGGCTGTAACGTCATAAAGCCGACTGTCGGCTTTCCTTTTCCATTCGCTTCACTGTAAGATGAAAAACACTGCAGCCACTTTTGATAAACTTACCATTAATATACATAAATGCATACAATATGTTCATGTAAAATAGAAAAGTGATTAATCCCTAAAAGTGTATTGACTGATTAATTGAAGGCTAAATTACATTTCTATCTTTCCCTAATCAAACTTGTATTGAGAAGCAGAGGACTATATGCACTTTTATGCATTAATGCACAAATGAAGTTGATTAAAAAAAAATCTTGTATCCATGTATTTTTTTTTTTCTATTTACTGTAACCTTTGATTTATCCAATTTATTTATATGCTGTTTTATTTTTCTCTCCGTGGTTGGGGTGGGGAACATCCAGATAAAAAGTGATCATCTTTACTTCTGTTTACGTTACAATCCTCTGATTGTATAAAACATAAAATTTACTACTTGTCACACAATATAAAACAGATGTTCATGATTTAATCTGAAGCACGTGTCATTATTCGAACTAGATCAAACTTTACAAAAGATAGCATCAGTTATCAGACCTCATTATTCATTGTTCCTTTCCTTGTTAACAGATCTTGTACACGGTCTCATTTATGGAATGATTCTACAGAATATTCAACAGATTTTCTGCTTTTCTACTGTCTCAATATGATCTTAAATGTGTACCAAGCCTGTTTTTTTATGATCACAATAAAACTATTTTTCAATTGATGTAGTAGTTATGTTCATTGTTTTTATTCTGTTTTGTCAGTCAGTTGCCTTACACAGAAAACACTGTTAAATATTAGGCTATAAAGCCTATTATTTGAACCCAAAACCTGAAACTTCATCAACTGAGGTTAAAGCATTAATTCTATAAATAAAATAAATTACATAACATAAGTACTATAAAAATAAAAAAAAAAAATTAAATGAAACATTGCATTTCCCCTCCAGTTTTGGCCTAAAACAGATACAGGGTGTTTGTTTGATCAGTTTGGGAAAAATAAAAAGAAGCTATTCTATGTATGTTGTATATGTTAAGGCCTAGAGGTATGAGAATTATATTTTATGGTTACTCTTCATTTGGCTGCTCCCTTCTTCATGGGTTGTCACACTGAACAAACTCATAGGAAGGATCTGGCAATTGATTTAAGATGCTCTTCTTGATGCAACCTGGGCTTGTACCTGCAGACTCATGAGTACTAAGTGCAACACTGACCATCACACTACTGCAGCACAATCTTATTATTTGTATGGTACAGCTAATAACTTGTTTTTGAGGATGAACTGATGAATGTTGTCCACTGATGGTGGTTTTCTGTGGTGATCTTAAGCTCAGTTACAGTATTTCCCTTCTGACTTATGTCAGCTTTAACCCAAGATGACACTAATTACTTTCTCCTGCTACATATAACATACAATCTCAAAAATCCTGAATTGTTTAATCCTACATACAGTCTTTTCCATTCCATTTGTCTTACTTAGTCTCTCTATGTGATGCATACATGATGTCTAATAATGTACATGGATGATGTTTAAAGATAATAAACATCACAAGTTAGTGTTTAGCCTTTTGCACCCCCTTTTACACAAGTTAGTGTTTAGCCTTTTGCACCCCCTTTTTGGAACTTTTTATCAACCCTGTAAAACATCAACCATCTTTAATGTTGTACTGAAACCATAACCACCCCAAAACCTTGATTTAAAGATCCACTGCTTTTGTAGGGAGTAAGGACATTGTTTTCATGTCCTGGTCCAACACACGAACCTCACATGGCTGAGTTACCTTATCGGCAGGTCATTGGCGTCAGTACAAGCTATAAGTATTGACCCATTAATTTAAAACAGGTGCACTGAAGCAGAGAAACATTCAAATATTACCAAACCACAAAAATCAGTGGTGCTTCCAGAATTGTTTTAATGGGGTGGCCATGTGGGTGCCACTGAAATATCTGGGGTGGCACACTAAAACTTAGAGCAAGAACAAAATTTCAGGAGATTAGTTTTGTGTTTACATAGGTTCCATCCATCCATCCATCCATCCATCCATCCATCCATCCATCCATCCATCCATCCATCCATCCATCCATCCATCCATTATTTTCTTCCTTTTTGGGTCACGAGGTCACTGGTGCCCATGTCCTGCAGTTGCTGTGCGAGAGGCAGGGTACAGGTCAAGTCCATCACAGGGCCACATAAAGACAAACAATCATTCATATTCTCACTCACACCTAGGGACGATTTAGAGTTACCAATCAGCCTAACATGCATGTTTTTGGTCTGTGGGAGAAAACAGGAATACCCGTAGAAAACCCACGCATGCACGGAGAGAACAAACTCCACCCAGAGGGGTGCCAGGATTTGAACCAGGGTAACCTGCTTGCTGAGAGGCAGCATCTCCACCAGTTGTGCCACCATGCTGCCTCTACTAACAAATATAGCAATGTGTGAACATTGAATGTTTGTGAACCCTTTAGAATTTTCTGTATTTCTTCATAAATATGACCTAAAACATTAGATTTTCACAGAAGTCCTAAAAGTAAAGAACACTGTTAAACAAATGAGACAAAAATATTATACTTGGTGATTTATTTATTGAGGGATATGATCACATATGCTGTTTTATTGTTTTATACACTACTCTTGTATTTAACTACATTTTTACTGTAATTTGTTGCTATTGTTTACTGTTATGTTATGTATCATGTTTTGTCTGTAACAAGTCCCTCTTGTAAATTAGTCCTCGCCGCTCAATGAAACTAGCCTGTATAAATAAATTTTAATGAAAAACAAATAAACAAGTAAACAAAAACTTCATTTATATTACAACAAACCAAGAGTTAGAAGTTATATTCAAACTAAAAAAAAAAAAACTAAAAAAAAAAATTAAAGACTGACATATACATGTCTTATGCACGGTACTTATGTATAACTACATCATTTCAAACCTTTTTTAAATGTCTTGTTTTTGACATTTTTGTGGGCGGAGTTTAAACAAGTGAGATCACTTCCGGGTCTTCGGCGGGAGAGAGAAGGGGGTCTCTGCAGACCAAAAGTGGGCGTTTCTGGCGAATAGGCGTTTATGGACGGCGAACACTGATTGGCTAACAGTATTTAATAGGCGTTTGTCGGCGGCGAACACTGATTGGCTGTGGGTAACCCTCAAAGTCACGAGGATTATTGATGAGGTAACGTTTCTTTGCGATGTTTGACAAAGAAATATGATTTATTGTACTTATAAAGTATGTTATGTTTTCACTTATGCATTTTATTGAAGTACGTTTATTGTAGGTCACGATAGTTTCGACCGTTCTCTCGTTGTTGTCGTAACGCACTGAGGTAACGTGAGCCTCCACTCGGCTCCTTTTCAAAATAAAAGCTGAAAATAAAAGTTCTTAATACTTGAAAAATAAATATTTAAAAGCTGTGTATAACTGAAAAATATGAAAAACAAATAAATAAAAGTTGTTATTAGCTGAAAAATAAATAAATAAAAGCTGTTAATTATATCTATGTCTTTCTGCCATGTCAGGAACCACTCTCACTTCAGACTGACTCTAGAAGACCCCAAGATGTTGCTCAACAATGTTGACCAACATCTGATGTTGACTTTCATTACTCAATAATGAGTAATAACTTATTCAATAAAAAGTCTGTAATTTGTCAATAATAGTCAATAATTCATTCAAGAATAGATTATGGGTGTTTGGTATGGCTCAGTGGCTAAAATGTGTTGGATGTTAGAGAAATTACTTAATTTTCAATTACCTGAATGCACAAATTCCTTCATTTATAGTTAAACTTTAGGAAATCAACTTTTTTTTCCTTGTGAAAAAAATATCAAAATTAACTTTAAAATCCAATCCAGGATTAAGTAACAACTAGCAACACCCTAACTGTGCTATGTTCTGTGTTTCCAACAGATGCTACGATGACTTCTAAAAATGGATGTCCCAATAAACACAATAAAAAAAAATTCAATGATGCATCAAATGTTGTCTGAGTATGTTTTAAGGTAATAACAAATGTGAAATCTGGAAAACAAAGAGAATTCCTGAATCTGTCTTGTGTGCTTTGATGTGTACATAAGTTTATTGGAGGTCCTGAAACAACTTTTCTGAGAACACAAAGATTTTTATTTTACCTTTGGCCAAGATGTCAGTTTGAAATCAGGCTGCTTACTGCAAAACCAAGAGTTTTTTTAAGACGGTCTTCATTTGTATTGTTTTGTCGACTGAGCTAAATGTAATTTCTAAAATATGGATAAATCTGATCTCATCATGCAGCATAAGCAACTGGGTACAGGTGTGAGGACCAAAAGTCTGGTTATGTACTGACTCCTAAATGTGCTTGTTTTCTACTGAAACATGGAGTAGGGTTGACCTTTAAAATGTGAGACAGCTGAGGAAGTTAACCAGTAAACAGAAATACCGGCTCCAGTTGCAGAAATCTTACAGAAACTGAAAATCACTCATCTGTAGTGACTGCAGGTTGAACAAGAAAATGTGAAGTTAAAGGAAACCTCCTTTGTCCCAAGGCCAGTTTAAGTATCATTAATATTTTTCTTTCTTTATGAATCGATTGTAACTTTGTTCACATTTTTCAACAAACAAAATGGAATTTGTTTTTTTAATGTTATGGCTAGGTATTAAAAAAAAAACCTAACATTTAGCTCTCCCCACTACCCAGTTATGTTGCTCTTATTTTGAAATGTAACCGGAAGTTCTGTGTTAAGAGAGTCGAAAAAAGTTATGGAGACGCCGCGGCAGTATACTGGAGCGATGTCGAACCGAGACGCCGCTAATGTCGAACCGGTTAACACCATAGACATAATATGCCTGTGGTTAACACAATCTGCCAATAACGCCTTGTTTTTAGACATCATGTGTCTGTGGTTACGGCATTTTATCGTTCAGCCTTTTTTTTTCTATCGTTCAGCCTTTTTTTTTTCTATCGTCCAATCAGATGTGGCCGTCCAGACACGCCCATTTTTCTATCGTCCAATCAGATCCGGCCGGCCAGAAACGCCCATTTTCCTATCGTCCAATCAGATATGACCGCCCAGATACGCCCACTTTCCTATAGTCCAATCAGATATGAGCGCCCAGATACGCCTTCCGAATTTGCCTGCAGAGACCCCTTCTTGGCGGGAGATGCAAGAAACCAGGAAGTAAGGTCGATTTGTTTTGCCGTTTTTTCTAGAGGTAAAGTTACCACAGACAACTCCGACAATAAATAAATGAAATAAACATTTCTTCTAAGGATGGATGGAAACTCCTCACTCCAGACCGAGGAGTGGAAAAACACCAAACAGGCGGTCGCAAACTTCCGCACACTACTGCTTTGCTCCAAATGGTGAGTTGACGCGAATTTAACAATCAACCAAACAAATTTAATTTTGATCAAATGCAGAAATATGAGGAATGTTGCTGGGGAAAAAAAAGCAACTCTATCAAAACATCATACATCTCGAATGGTTAAGCGAGTTGTGAGAATGTCACTATTAGCAGACAGTTGTCCAGCATTAAAGAAAGACATGATGTATATATGGTGCGACGACAACGTGTGTAGTGTACAAGTCACAGCAGCCTGATGCATTTTGGAAACTAATTTCGAGGTAGAATAAGCTTAAGAACGGCACCATGAGGTGCTGGAAACAGACACAGAACAATGAGTTATATTCCGAGGTGCGACTGGGTTTTCATGGTTTGTGTTTGTTTGCTTGTTTATGATTGTGGTGGTTTGTTTCAGCTCGTGTAAGTGTTTTATTTGGATGCAACAGGATGCCGAGGTGTCCATAGAAATAAATAAGCTGTTAGTCAGAGGTGGAGGAGTGTTTACATGGAAGGACAGAGGTTCTGATGATTCTATAGGTTTATGTTTGGGCTAAGATAGTACTCCAGAGGTTCAGATTTATTTTCAATACCATACAACGTCTGGAAAATTTTAAACCATTGCTAATAACCGTAAAGCTGAAAAAACAACAACAACCCCTGCTTATCTACGTTATACATTCAGATTGCATCTTGCAGAGCAAAGGTGATGTTGCACTGACTACATCTGAATTTTTTTGCCTTGTTTTCCAGCTCTGATCTGATGAAGGAGCCCGTCTGTTTGGGCACGTGCGAGCATATGCTGTGCAGGTAACGTAACCCCGCTGTGTTCACCTGTGATATGCTTATTTCACATATAATTGCATCGTGGCAGGAATTTTAATTCGCCCTATACAGGTGTAGCTAATAATGGTAATGATCGCTTCAGTCCATTTAAGGCTGCTGCTGCTGAGAATGTGAAATTGTACATGCTGGTTTACTGGCAGGGCAAACTGGCATGTCTAAAATGGTGTTTAAAAATCAGCTGTGTGCTTTTTTTTCCCCTGCTATGAAGCATCAAAATGGCCATGGAGGAAATATTCTTGTCCCCCCCCCCCCCCCCCCCCACACACACACACACACACATTTATTTAATCCAGAAGGATTATTCTTTCTCTAGATGAAAATGCTGACAACACATAGTTTACACTTGTGAAGACAGTTAATGTCTCTATAGGGATAAACTAGCTGCCTTGTTCCCTGTCTTCATGACTGAATCTACTTAGAGGGTGAATCAATAGCTGTATTTCTTTGTACTGAACTGTGAAGCAGACTCCAATCTAACAAAGGTTTATTGCTCAGGTCTTGTGCTGGCCCCCAGGCAGGGGACGGCTGTGTGGTGTGTCACAGCCCTGCGTGGGTGAAGGACATCCAGATCAACAGACAGCTCAGCGGCATCGTACAGCTCTTCAGTGATTTGGAGTCCCTGCTAAATTCCACAGAACAACCTGGTAGACATTACACAATTATTTTATTTTTTAAATTAAACACTTCCCTGACTTTTATATTATCATAAAGCAGTATTAATGATTTATTGAGTACTGACTTGTAATTGTGGAATACAGTGAAGTTTAAGCAGAAGTCTGAGGGTAAAAAAAGTCAATGTACCATACTTTTCAAAGCCCTACAGTTACAAATCATTTAAATAAACAGTTAGTTGTGCGCAAATCATCTGTTTGTTTTCTAAATGTACAAACAAATCTATAGCAGGATGGAAAATTGATTGTGTTATTATTTTACTTTAATTTAATCTGTGTGTACAATGTAAAATTACTACAAAGAGCTTCTCCAAAAGCCAAGAAAGGATTACCAGTATTGGGGCTGGGTACCTTTCTAAAAAAAATCAGTATCGGTACCGGTGTCAGTACCTTCACTTCGGTGTCGGTTCCTGGACGGTTCTTTTTTCGGTACCAATTTTGTAATTACTATTAATTCTAACAAGAATAAAATTACGTTACACATTACAGTACATATTGTGAATTTTATTTTTTTAACTTTGGTATTTCCATTCCAAGCAGTTTTCTTACATAAAAATAAACAAATAATTTCCAGTTCAAAAGACCAGTTGCAAACAACCAGTGACATGTCAGTGTATAATGCTCACTGCTACACACTGAAGACCTTTTCACTTAACAGTTTGTCTTCAGAAACAACATGTCTGCTTTCTCTGGATACAAACAAGCCCGCTCCTGGCTGATGGTGTCTCCAACAGTAGAACATGTTCACTCTGAGGCTGTAGATGATGATTGTTGCACACACAGATACCTGGTTGTCCGTTTGATAGCACTGACATATTGTCCCTCACATTCCACCAGCAGGTCACTGGATTCACTGAGGTTAGGGTTGATGGCAGACATCTGCACCTCCTTTTGTCAGTCTCTGTCCTCACGTCTGGGTCAGAACCTCCTGTGAGGAGAACATTAACATAAACGTTGAACATTAGTGAACTGTTTAAGCAGCTGACTGGATGGATGAGCACATTTTTACAAGCTAAGCTTCATCTGTTACTGTCAATCTTTCGTTAGCTTCTGAGTTTAGCTAGCTACGTAGAAAAAATAAATTTACACACTAATATCTTAAAGTTAGCGTTACATGGATTCTAGTTTAATTCACCGCGATGTACGTATTAAGCTGCAGTAACGTTAACAAACGTAAACTCACCAGCTGAAACACAGACACGGAGCCGTCCTCGGGAGTTCTTTGATGAAGACGAGTCCGGCTGTGGAATGTTGATTGAGTCCATTTAACACACACAGACTGACTAACGCTGGGGGGGTCCATCTGACTTCTGTCACAGAGCAACTTTCTGCTCGTGTGTTGTCGAAGCCATTCGACAATACGCGCTGCACACGTGAACCCCGTCTGTGGGCGTCACCAGCACCATAGACATACATTATACATAGATTAGGTACAGCAGCTCTATGCAGCTCTGGGTGTAAACACGTAGTCTGTTTGTCATACGTCCGGTGTTTTACATGTGTACGTGCTGAAACCACGTGACACCTTACAGCTAATACCGAAACTTGACACCGAAAAAAGAGTGACGTTTCAATCCATACACCGACCGGTGCAGTTCGGTGGTTGCCATTTAAGAACCTCGGTTCGGTACTCAGCCCTAACCGGTATTCTGTGTGGTTAATGATGCATCTGTTTTTTTTATGATTTATTGCAGACTCATCTGCTGCTGAAGTCCAAACACAACCTGAGACTGCAGTCTTAAAACACAAGAAGAACTTTAAGATCTGGTTCAGTCCACGCAGTCGTAAGGTGCGATGCAAGGTGGAGAAGCCTTCAGAGGTCGATGTACCAGACGTCCAATCTTCTGCTGAAGTGGCTGCATCACAACTAAGAACCGATACTGCTCTGTGCCAAGACCTGTCAGTTTTTAATTTTACTTCATCCTCCCAGGACTCTTCTTCTTCGTCTCAAAAATGCAGCAACGTAAACAAAAAAGGAAAGAAGAGGTCTAAGAAAACTGCTACCAGCAGCCATGTGCAAAAACCAACTAAAACCACACGTAGACAGACAAAGCAGAATATAAAGAAGCAAAAGCTGGAGGCCATAAACCAACAATGGGGAATAACAGAGGAAGAGCCTGCTCCATCTAAACCGGAGAAGCCCTGTGCTGATGGAGCAAGAAGGTCTAGTAAAAGGGTTTCTTTCCTCAGCCCTCCTGTCACCTCAGATGAGCCTCAGCTTGCGGCACCACAGAGTAACACAAACAAAGTCAGTCCTGCCAGCAGCACAACCAAAAGGAGTCACTCAAAAGACAGGATAAATGCATCAAATTACCAAACTGAGCCTGGTCAGAGCACGCTGAACGAGAAACTATCTGCAAATGACTCTTATCCAAGTGACAGTCTCGAAAAATTGGAAAACATATCTCCTCCAGAGAATCCCTCAAAAAGAAGGGGAAGAGAGGAGAAAGCCTGCACCTTGGAGAATACTCCAAAAAGACCGAGGGCTTCTCCATGCCGTAGGACAAAATCATTGGGTCGGATATCTCCGGCTGTCATCAACCGTTTATCTTCGGCAAGCCCCAGGAGTGATAAGAGCAGCAAAACCTCCAGAGAGGAAAGGGGTAGTCCCTCTGTCATAGACTCTGTGTCTATAGAAGTCCACAGCAAATCTCCGTGTAGTCCTGGATCATCTGTCGGGCGATCAAGCTCTGGAAGTCCTGCGGTTATGAAGAGAAACCACAAAGGAGAGACCCCGCTGCATCTCGCTGCAATTAAGGTTAAGAAGCGTCTCCAATTGCTTCAATTCTCTATTTCCATTCTTTCATAAATTATATTACAAATGATCTATATTAAAAGTAAAACGAAGATGCTGTTTTTACGTTCCTTGCTTTTCTTTTCCCTTTGAAATACCACAAATCTACGTGGAAAATTCTTCCTTTTAGAACTTGGATCTAAGTTAACGCATCAGTGTAGTGCTTTTTAGTAATCCTTGTGAACATAGTCAGAATCCCTCTGTGCATCCCAGACAAAGGGATCAATGTCCCTCTGTGGAGTCTGATTAATAAACCAAAGGGTTCTAGCTCACTAGGATCAGCTGTTGTGTTTGAAGAGTTGAATTTAGATGTCTGTAATGCTCAGCTCAGGTTTCTTGTTTTCTTTTGGCCCTGTAGGGAGACATAGAGGCTGTCAAGGATCTGCTGGACCAGGGAGCTGACCCCAACCTCAAGGATAATGCTGGATGGACACCTCTGGTAAGTATGCACTTTGTTTTTCTACACACAGTATATTGGAGCATTTTTACTCAGTGACCACAGCTTGTCAAATAGTTTGGTGGTGAAACATGGTAAAGGTTAAAAATTCTCAGTTAAATATTGAAAGTGCTGCCATTTTTTTATTTTAAAATGGTCTGTCCTTTTTAGCAATTCCTCCACATAAAGAGCTAGAAGTTCATTTTATCTGTTGGCAAGTTACACATTTTCTCATTCCTTTCCTTTTGAGAGCATGTGTCAGTATTTTTGTCTCTAACTTTATTACAGCACTTCATGCAGCTGCTAGCTCCACTCAAGCTTGAGTATTCAGTTTAAGTTCTGACAGTCGGCACATTTGTTTTTAATGCTTACAATGAGCTCAGAGCTTGAAATTTTCATTTTTTTTCTCCTCTACTCGTTTGCAGCGTTGTAAGGCTGCAATCTGTTTGAGTTCAGATGCCCCAATCATTTAAAACCCCCTAGTGTGTCTTTTTCTTGTGCTGTGCTTTCAGCACCATTTTTAAATACTTCTTTTTTTTATTCTATTCTACTAACACCACTTGAGGGTTTACGTGAGTCGGCTTTAACCATGTTCAACAAGCCCTAAGCTAACAATGGAACAGAATTTAATGTGCACTTTACAAATCCACAGATTTTCGTTCTTGTGAGCAAAACAAACATTGTATTTGCTGCAGCAGATGGTCAGCACTAAAGAAAGTTGGTTTCGTCCCAGACTTTAAATAAAACAGTTGGTGGGCTGGGAAAGATGGGAAGGAGGTTCTTAACTTGGAGTCAGTTATATTAAAATAATACTTTTTCTTCTTTAAAATGAAGATAAAAGGGTATTCTTTTACACTTTTGTAAAGAAGAGTTCCTAAAACGCTTACATTATCAACATTTAAGCTAAAATGTAATGACTACAACAAAAAGTGGTTTCTACATGAAGTAGTTGTCTGCACCAGTTCTACCAATTTATTTACCATTTTATTTATTTATTGTTATTGCTTTACAGCCTTAATTATATTTGACACATCTTTCAAATTGGGCTAAAACGTTATCGTTTTTTTAAAGCAGTTTTTTTTCTTTTTATGTAGAGTAAAAAAGTAAGAGTTGGAAACATTTATACAATATTTGGAAATGTATCAATTTTAGGTAATTTCTCCAAATTTATAATTGCTTAATATAAACACCAGCACTCGTTTCTGTTTGATTAGCTCAAATAAGAGGAAGCAAATGCTGGTTAATATTGTACACGAAGGCAGTTTTTGATGCTTCACCCGACTCTTAAACAGAAAAATAAACTAAAAAACATTATAATTAGACATTGATCTGAGTGTGCTATTTGAAATTTATACTTGCAATATAATTTAGGATTTGTTTTTTTCAAAGATATAATTGATGAGGAGGACTCTGATTGTCTGTCTGTTTACTTCCTGTTTCAGCATGAAGCGTGTAACCTGGGCCACCTGCCAGTTGTCGAGGTGCTGGTCTCCAGAGGAGCCTTGCTGAACACAACTGGCTATGAAAATGACTCTCCACTCCACGATGCTGTAAGAAATGGACATGCAGCCATTGTTAAACGGCTTCTGCAGCTCGGGGCTTTGCAGAATGTCCTGTAAGTTGCTTTGCATGTTTTATTTTTAAGTTTATTGTCTTGTTCATGACGTGCCTTTTGCCAGTTTGCCACAATGTACTGTATTTTTTGGACTATAAGGCGCACTTAAAATCCTTTATTTTTCTCAAATATCGACAGTGAGCCTTACAATCAGATGCGCCTTATATATTAATTCTGGTTGTGCTTACTGACCTCAAACCGATTTTATGTGATACTTGGCGCTCAAAAATCTGTCAAAATGAACTTGTTTCGCTTAATGCACTTTAGAATCTGGTACCCCTTATGTATGAAAACAGATCCGTTCATTGATACTGTGCCTTACGATCCGGTGCGCTTTATAATCCGAAAAAATATGGTAAACCTTTTTTGTTGTCCTATACACAAAGACGGCGTTGCATCTAGGCCTGTCACGATAACACATTTTGCTGGGCGATTAATTGTCTCAGAAATTATTGTGATAAACGATAACATTGTTTGAAATTTAACAATAATTAATTGTCAAATTTTAGAAGAAATGTTTTGTTTGGTGTGTAGTACCTTTTTTGACCACCAGATGGCATTATAAGACGATTTGAATCAAAGCCTGGATAGTTGAGCTGCGTGTCTCTTTAAGAAAAATGGGCGTGAGGGCCCTTGATGTGACATGGGCTGACATGGCAGACGCTCCATGATTTGAGCTCTTTAGCATAGCATTTTTCATACAATGTTTTTAATAAAAAATCGGTAAACAAGTTTTCAACTTCTTTTTGCAGAGAAAAACTACTTTTTACATGAAGGCACAGGTTTCAACCGTGAATTTTGGAGCTTCGACAAGACGGGGGTTTATTCCCGTGGTCGGCCTGTTAGCTTAGCTCGTAGCTTAGTTTCTCAGCTTAGCTGCTTTTAACGATCCAAAAATGCGATTTTGGACGGTTAAAACAGATTTTAAAGAGAAAGGGAGGGGTCAGTGAAGAGCACCGGAGTTGAGCCGCGTCTTCACAGAGAGAGACACAAAGAAACGATAAAGCCGGTAAATGAAAAAGAGGTCGATAATTTTCATTCATCATGCGATTAATTGATTTATTGTTTATCGCGACAGGCCTAGTTGCATCCTCTGTAGCACTGGAGGAGCACGTTATTATGTAGTTCACTCTTCATATAATTTTTTTTAACCACTTTTTGAATTTGAGTGGTTTAACATAATCTGCGGCCTTGGTAGTTTGATTTTTATTTTTAATACGCTGTAGATGTGAAAGGTTCATGAAATGAGACTATTAAGAAGTTGTCACAAAAGAAACTGAACATTTTACTGGGGTTAACTTTTCTTTCACCTCTGTTATTTTATTTATTTTAATCCCATGATAAAAATGCTTTGTTGCCTCCAGAGCTGCACTTTCTGAAGTAAATGGTGAATTGCCCTTTTCTGAGTCACTCTAAGCATTTTGGCCCAATTTATAGTCATGACCAGGGGTGTGAAGAAGTGCTATGTGTAGGTGGACAGATGCAAGGCTGCTGTTGTTCATCAGTCTGGTGAAGCAGTGTTAACAGTACTTTTTCCCTGTGGAGGCCTCGTTGATGGGTGGCACATTGTTAATTATGAAGTAGAAGAAGTTGAGTAATTATGAAGTGATCAGGGTCAGTTTGGACACTCTTAACCATCATTTACATCATCATTTGCTCATCTTATTTCTGTCTTTGCTGTGGTCATGTATTTTCTTCCCAGTGTTGTATTTGTGTACAGCGCAAGAGTCAATAATCCAGGCATTCTGTCAGAACTGTCAAATGAATGGTGTCTGTCCAAACCTCTCGTGTTGTCGAGCACATTAGTAAACATGCATGATAGCCAAACAACGACAACAAAAGGCATTGGTTTATAAAGCAATGATTTTACACATGTGCACTGTATATTTTGTGTGCGTGCAGGATGGGTTTAAATGCTTTCATTGCATTTTTTTATTGTACATCAGTTATTTTTAGAAACCACGGTCTATCTTGAACATGATTTTAACAGGCATTGCAAATATATTATGAAATGTTGATGTCTTGGTATAAGTCTAACTTGTAACCCAGTTGATCATTTCCTGTTTGGTACAGATCATGGACATGAAACAAGTTGGATGAAGCATCTTTGCTTCTTTCTGTTTTTCAAAAGTGAAGCCAGTGGGATTTGGTTTTGGGCTCTGCGATGTTTTGTGTAGTCGGGATGAGAGGTGGTAAGCCAGCCTACCCGCCTCACACAATCATGTTTGTTTTAAGGGATCAAATAACTAATTACAACTAAACATATTAAATATTTTAAATTACAACAGTAATTATATATATATATAATTACTGTTGTAATTT